ACAACTCCCGGGCTTCCTACCTCAGGAAAGGAAGACCTTCCCAGACAGGAGGTCTTGCTCATCCCTCGGTAACACATACACACAACCTTCCGGAATTTTGCCGGAATCACCTTTATTTCTTAACGTCTTTATTTTTATATACAGGGTGGTGCAGAGGTCCAGTACTTTCACCGATGGGTAACGAACTATGCCCACATCGGATAGGGCATAGCCACCTTTTCCCCAGTGACAGGAACATCACTTTGCCATACATGAACTTGCTCCTCATACTGGCCACTGGCCACTTACCTGTTTCTCCATCGAAACCGTCCTGATCTCTAGCTCAGTGGCTGACTTTGAGTTCTGATACCTCGTAAAGCAAGCCTCCCTTGCTGCCCCAATTCAACTCTTTTTCATACTTCACTGGCTCTTCTAGACATTTATTTTTCCATATAAAGCTGAAGATAATTTCACTCCCCCTCCAAAATCGTGTGAGGATTCTTACTGGAATTGTTTGTGAAGCTTACTTCTCAATTTTGAGTTAACGGACATCTTTGTGCTGCCTGCCTTCCCACCATAAAACGGGGCACATCTCTCCATCTGCTCGCGTATTTTACGTCCTTCAGTAAGACTGCATAGCTGTCTCCACGCAGTCCTGTGTCTTTCTCACATAAATTATTCCCAAGTAATTTATAATGAATTATAACAAATAATTTTGTGGCGCTGGTAAAAATGGGATGGGTTTTCTGGCCTCACTTCCAGGTATACTTTAGTATATCTATAAGCAAGCTACAGTAAATTCTCATTGATTTTGTTTTTTAAAGAAACTAGTATCTTGCTGTTTCTCGATATACAGTATCATGCCACCAGTAAAAAAGGGTGCCTAGTGAGTGCTTAGGGTAGTTTACTGGCTCAGAGTGTGGGCCTCGGAGCTCCCAGCTCTGGTTTTGAACCCCAGCTCTGCTCTATGACCAGGATCTTATGAGTGAAGAACACGAGGCTAGAAGAGGTGAGGCCCTGTGCCTGGGGCCCTCATTCTTTCATGTCACATATACTGGTCAAGGGCCTGCAGACTCTAGCTCAAGCCAGATTCCACAGCCGGTATAAGGAAAATCCTTAGATTTGCATCATAAAAGCAAAGTGACAGTACAATCGTGTCTTCTTTTCATTTAACACCACTAAGGGCCAGACGCTACAGGTGGCTTTGATACAAGACTATCAATTAGGGAGAGCCCCCCCCTTGACTTGCTGGATGGGGGCTGCCCAATTCATGAATAATTTAATAAAGCCAATTAGATCTTCAAAAGTAAAATAAAATAATCAAAAGAATTACAGCAATCATATTTATTGCCACACAAATTTTTTTTTCCTTAAAGACTAATCTTTAGAACACGAAACATTAGAAGGAATTTGAAAAGATAAAATTTGAAGATTTACATGCACACAAATTAATGAAATCTCCTAATAACACACCAGCTGAAAGATCTGCTCATGCCAGCTGTGCAGCACAAGCCGATTAGTAACCAGACTTTCTAATCTTTACCAGTGTGAACACCCACAGTACAATTTAAGAAAAACTAATGTAAAACAGAACCTAACCCTAGTGTTTATCTATCATGCTCCTGCAACCCTGGATACCCACACTCTGAGAGCCGGAGAACCTCAGTGTTTCTCAGCAGAAGATAACCTTAACTTTAAAACAGGGAAAATCCTGGGGTGTCTGGGGGGCTCAGTCAGTTAAGCGTCCGACTCTTGGTTTCGGCTCAGGTCGTGATCTCACACTCGGGAGTTTGAACCCCATTGCCCTATCAGCACTATCCCTGTTTGAGATTCTCGCTCTCTCTCTCTCTCTCTCTCTCTCTCTCAAAATAAATAAATAAATAAACTTCAAAAAATATAAATAAATCAGGAAAATCCTAAGGAGGCTCACGAACGATCCAGGTACTCCATCCCTCAGCTACCTGAGGCACCATGAGGCCCAGGCTACTCACTAGAACCTCTGTGCACTCAGCTCATGGTGGTGACCTGTGGCATCTCACTGGAGCGGCTCAGGAAGCCTGACGGGCAGGGGACGGGAAGTCCCAGGCTCTCGGCCAGAGTGGCGGAATGGTGTGGAACGTAACCCGCTGGCAGCTTCTGCTGTTGACATGGCCTTCACGGATGTCACATGTAAGCTTCGGAGATGGAGGCTACCTAAGACCCAGGCATAAGTCTCCTCTTAAACAATAAGCAAAAATAAAATTTAATTGCGGGTGCTTCACTAGATCAGTTTCCAAACATAGCTGACGGCTTTTAGTTGGACATGTGGGCTATTCTATTTTCAACCAGCACAGAAACCTGACTTTAAGTCAGCCAATGAATATTCTGAATTCCAATTTAAAAATATGCTATACAGTTTGCTACCACCAAAAACATAATAATAATAAATTAATTAAAATATGGCTACTCGAGAGGGGGGGGAGGGGTGCTAACAATTTAAATATTCTTCACCTTGAGTTTTTGTGCCTGGATGACATGCAAACATAAATGTGATTTAATTCGTCACCTGTATTTGTGCTGAAGTTCACAAAAGCCTAAATCAAGTAGGACTTCAACCTATAGGGTATCACAGGAAGGGGCACCTGGGTGGCCCAGTGGGTTAAGCATCCAACTCTGGATTTCGGCTCAGGTCACGAGCTCACGGTTGTGAGATGAGGCCCAAGTTGAGCTCCGTGCAGAGTGTGGAGCCTGTTTGGGATTCTCTCTCCTTCTCTTTGCCTTCCCCTTCTCATACGTGTGCATGTTCTGTCTCTCAAAATAAATCAACATTAAAAAAATAAAACCTCAACTCATGGGTTGCCAATTTTTTGAGGTCTTTGCCAATTTTTAATATACAGCAGTAGGAACGTACTTGGACTTTAATGCCATTTCTAGCTGCCTCTGAGACCTTTGTGCTGCTGACTCTGACATGATACTCTCTCCAAACGCTCCATCTTCCAAGATCTAAAAATTCCTAAACCAGCTTTTAGGGATTAATCTGCTGTGACTTACAAAAGATTAACAATACAAATATGCTGGGTATTAACCTGCTATAAGATATTAAAGATACGAAATATAAGATTTCTCTGTCATGAAGCAAATAGGCCATTTACATTTCGAAGTTTTGTATAAGGGATTCTGCCTTGGGCTTGAAGAAACCCATAATCTCTGGGGTCTTTTATAAAGCCCTTTATCAGAATGATTCACTCACTATGCATGCCAAATAAGATATAGATGTATGAGAAAAATGTTAATAATTTTCTTTCTTTCCTACCCTGAATAATGTTGAGAATGTGACAGGGTACTTTTCCATGTCTGTTCTCACACACGCATGCATACACAGCTCTAAACATACAAGCAGGTGTTTTCTTATTTAAAAAAAAAATGGCATCATACTATAAATATATTCCTATGAAACCTACCTCTTAAAAAATAGAATACTTCATAGCCCTTAAAGTCAAAACACACAGGTGTGCCTTTTCAGGGCTTTGGATTGTTAAGTGTTAAATTATCTAATTAAAGTCAACTGAAGAGCGGCGCCTGGGTGGCTCAGTTGGTTAAGCATCCGACGTCGGCTCAGGTCATGATCTCACGGTTTGTGAGTTCAAGCCCCACATCAGGCTCTGTGCTGACAGCTCAGAGACTGGAGCCTGCTTCGGATTCTATGTCTCCCTCTCTCTCTCTCTGCCTCTCCCCCATTTGTGCTCTGTCTCTCTCTCGCTCAAAAATAAATAAAATGTAAAAAAAAAAAAAAAAAAAAAACTAAAGAGAAGCTGGTTTCCCTGGAGACCTGAGAAATAATTTCAAACATATTTTTATTTTTTATTTATATATTCAAAGTTTATTTATTTTGAAAGAGAGCCAGGGAAAGGCAGAGAGAGAAAGAGAGAGGGACAGAGAATCCCAAGCAGGCTCCACACTATCAGCGTGGAGCCCAATGTGGGGCTTGAACTCACGAACCTCGAGATCATGACCTGAGCCGCAATCAAGAGTCGGACACCAGGGGTGCCTGGGTGGCTCAGTCGGCTACGCGACCAACTTCGGCGCAGGTCATGATCTCACCGTTCATGAGCTCGAGCCCCACATGGGGCTCTGTGCTGACAGCTCAGAGCCTGGAGCCTGCTTCGGATTCTGGGTCTTTCTTTCTGTCCCTCCCCTGTTGTGCTCTGTCTCTCTTTCAAAAATAAGTAAACATTTTTAAAAAAAAGTTAAAAAAAAAAAAAAAAAAAAGAGCTGGACACTCAACCAACTGGGCCACTCAGGTGCCCCTCAAACATATTTTAAACGTAAATCAGAGCTCAGAAGGCTAGAGAAGAATAAGCAGCAATCTCCTTTTGGGTTCACAGAACCATCATCTCCGATAGGACTCAAAGCCCTTTTTTACAAAACATTAATTACAAAAATTACATCAATGGTCTGAGCCAAACACAATGTGCTCCAAAGAGCTGCGGCTATTCAAGTGGGACCAGGAAGGTTTCGGCACAGATACGTTATAGTGACTGCTGCTCACGCACACCCCGACCACCTATAACCCAGCCCGGGGGTGGGGGGCTGAGGTGGGAGGGCAGGCCTCTCAGAGCACTGGCACCCCTGTTGTGACCCTCTACAAACAGACGATGCTGGCCTAGCAGACCCTCCCCTCCCCTCCCAGGGATGGGCAGCGGGACCCACCCTGAAATCGCACAATCAGGACCACAGCCCGAAGCTGACGTGACAGGGGAGCACAGAGAGACGTCAGCGGGGAGACGGACGCCGTCTGCCCCCGGCTGAGCGATGTGCAATTTTTTACATTCTCTGAAATTCTGGAAATGGTCTCCGGACCTCAGGCTGTATGCAGACATCCTGTTCCCCGGTTCCGGTCTGACCGAAGCCCAGCTCTACCCTCGCTCTGACCCGGGGCGTCCCGGACAGCTTCTGCTTACACACCCTCCAAGTACTCTCCGGAACCGTCACGCGGACGGCGCAGCCCGGGCGGTGAGTGGGGCGCCGACGGACGGACCCACCTGTGCAGGAAGTGCAGCTTGTGCATGGCGGCCAGGCCCGCCGCGATCTCGCAGGCCATCCGCTGCAGCAGCATGGTCTGCGAGTCCCCCCTCACGTGCTCTTGCTCGTTGCGCAGGTAAGCTTTTAGGTCACCCTGCAAAAGGCAGCGCAGGTCAGTTTCCAGAGGGGACGAGGCGAACACGCTGGCGACCACACACGTGCCTCTGCCCGTGTCCACTATTATTTATTAGAACTCACTAAGATTGGACCTTACTAAAGAGCAAGTTCCAAGTTACAAAGAGTAATTCCACCCAAATACTTTATAAGTATAGAAAACACTATCATCTTTTAGGATCGTTCTAACCAAACGTTAGTTTATCTTTAAATAAACTATCAGTTTAGATGAACATACGTAAAACCAAACAGTAAAACTCAGATAATTTCTCAGTGATGCACAATCTAAACTAAGTGCAGAGGTACAGAAATTTCCAGGTAACTGAGACGATATGGAGAGTAGAATAAATGGTGCCATGTGCACTGCCTGAAAGGATTCTAGGACACACACGGCCAGACAATAGGTCACGAAGGCTACTGCCAGAGCACTCGAGAGCGACGGAGAGGGACAGAAAGAAGACCGGCCGGGGGGCGGGGCCAAGCATTCTGAGTGCTGGCCGAGTCTCTGCCAGCTCCCCCAGGGCCCGGTGTGGCCCCGAGACCGCTCGGAGAAAGAACATTCCGGGCCCTCCAGAAAAATGCATAAAGTTACTAAGCCTATTCACAATCTGGCAGCGCGGACAGGAAAATGAACAAACTCACACCGGACGCCTCCTGAGGCACATCCACCGCAACGCCAGGCCCTCCGGGTATCCCTGCCGGACTGCCCCGTGTTACTCTGCCTCTTTTTCAGGACTTTATTATTAAAAAAAATTTTTTAATGTTTATTTTTGAGAGAGACAGACAGAGAGAGACAAGAGTATGACCAAGGGAGGGGCAGAAAGAGAGACACACAGAGAATCTGAAACAGGCTCCAGGCTCTGAGGTGTCAGCACAGAGCCCGACGTGGGGCTCGAACTCACAAACTGCCAGGTCATGACCTGAACCAAAGTCAGACACTTAACAGACTGAGCCCCCAGGCAGGCATCCCTCTTTCAGGACTTAAATTTAGGACTGTATGTTTTGGGGAATACACGTTTAAGGAAATAAAATCTTCCACATTCTCCTTATCACCACGAGGAAATATTTATTGATCGGACTTAATTCCCAACTAAAGCTTTATATAAACAGTTAACAAAATTTAGAAAGCAAGCCAATAGCTTTCGATTGTCATTATACCTGGGTCAAGTAACGACTCCTGAGGAAGGTAACCAACTAAAGAACAGAATGCATTTCTTGCAACTGTCAGGAAAGAGCAAATTTATCCGATTCTACCCAGAATCAAACCTTAGAACACAATATTCCATGACAAACGTTTGCCTACCTTTAACTGCCCGCCGCAATGTAAATTCTAGGCCCGCTGCAACATCTAAAGGCTTTCGTTCCCAGTCTCAGTGGTTTTTATGTGAATGATAATGCTGAAATTAATAATTACTGCCACCGGAACTTCTGAGCAGCGTGCCAAGCACCGTGCTGGGAGTGTCTACACCTGCTGCCTCGAATAATTCCTGCAATTTGAAACATTTCCTGGCTGTGGAACTGAGGCTCAAGGAGGTTAAGAAATCTCGACGAGGCCACAGCCAATAAACGGTGGGGCCGTAGCTCTACTGTTTAGTTTTACCAACCTGTCAAGAAAACCCACTTAGGGTTGCAGATCAAATCAATTTACTTTATAAGAACGAATGTACAATAACTTCGTGTCAGCCACATGCATTTGTCGGATCCCCCCAAACTTAACGGGACTGCTCTGCCAGGGAAGCAGTTTCGTGCCCTCGGGACCCGTATGTCCTACCTCTTATTTCCTCCCAGACGTGATGCTGGAATCACAAGCCGCTCCAAGGAGAGAAAGAGACCCTTCTTGCCTTTGAATAACACATGTCCCAGACAGAGAGCCTGGGAGACTAGATCGGTTAAGGATTCGACTTCGGCTGAGGTCACGATCTCGTGATTTGCGGGTTCGAGGCCCGCGTCGGGCGTTGCACTGACAGCATGGAGCCTGCTTCGGATTCTGTCTCCCTCTCTCTCTGTCCCTCCTCCATTTGTGCATGCTCTCTCTCAAAAATAAAAATACATGCCCCTTCCCACCCCCACCCCACCTTCCCCCAGGCTAGGCTCTACCCGGTGTTGGAGTGGGTGGGAATAAAGACGGAGTCTCATGACAAATACATTAATCCAGACTAAGACCAGCAAAAAGCTCCAGGCCTACAGGCTAATGAGATTTTCATAAGGTGGCCCACATGGAAACTAAATATGAAAATGAACAGCTTTTTATTTACATTACCAGTGAAATGGCAACTTAAATCCATTTGTCCAACCCCTTTCCTGCAATATCCATCTAAGAAAAAATCACCCTCACACAAAAGTAGCATTATGCTGTGCTGTATCTGGCCAATTCTCAAAACAAACAGAAGCTGCTGGCAAACAGTGAACACTTCACAAGTGACTCTGGCCATGAAGGGAGAATGGCAGAGTGGGTGGAGTTATTTTTCAAGGTTATCTAAAGTGCAGTTCAGCCCTGAACAATGACGGGGTTGGGGCACTGACCCCCGAGCGGTGGAAAATCCACACAGAACTTCAGACTCTCCAAAAACTCAACCACTAGCAACCTGTGGTTGACCAGAAGCCTTACTGATAACAAAGAGAGTTGCTTAACACATATTTTTATGTGGCATATATTATAGACTATATTCTTATAATAAAGTAGGCCAGAAAAAAGAAAGTGTGGAGAAAATGATAAGGAAGAGAAAATGTATTTACAGCACTGGCCTGTATTTGTCGGGAAAACTCTACGTGTGGGAACTGCCCGGCTCAAACCCATGTTGTTCAAGCGGCAGCTGGATATTCATCACCATCCACTGTGCTCAAGGTGTCTTCTCTCCGCAGTAATTCACTCCCCAAATCTCACCAGAAGATGCATAACAAGCACACGGGGATTTTGCTTAAGAATGTTACCGCCCCTAATGTTTCCAGCTTGGCCTCTCCCGACCCCAACCCCCACCCCGGGGGACAAAGTCAGCAGTCAGCAAAACGCTGGCAAACACGCCTCTAAGCTGGGTGAGGAGCTGACACCAATGATTACGGAGGAGCCCGATGGGACTCGCGGTGGTTTGTGCAGGACCCAGGGTTGGTTCTACGTTCTAGAAAGACCGTCGGCTCTCCTGGTGCCACCATTGAGAAGAAAAATCAGCGTAAAATCTTTAATTACGGTAAAAATGTTTCTATTAAATAAATACCAAAACTGGATTCATTCTATCCAAAACAGACAAAACCGTATTGAGACGCCAGGTTTACTTTATTTATGTTTGCGTGGTACTTGGTGAGCAGACAGGGATTATTACTTGGGTCCCTTATTTAAAGAAAAACCCACCAAGAACAGCAATATATTCTGAATTAAAATTGTTCCCTTTATCCAAGTCTTAAAAATTTCTCAGATCCTCCCCCAAGCCCTCCCAGAAAGCCTGGAAAAGAAGGACGTGTGACACTAGGTGGCAGCAAAGTGCCGCACTCAGGACTGCGCGGAGCCAGGGCCGGGAAGGACTTCACGCACCACACCGAGCGGCCCGCAGACCTTCAGACAGAGGCGCACTAGTGTCCTCTTAAGTTCCAGCCCGGGCCACCAGGAGGGCGTACGCAGCTTTCTTCAGGGCACCGGGAACGATGAATTCATTTCATCACAATGTGAAAACGCAACCAGCGAGGAGTTCTAGGAGTGGAAAATTACAGTCTCTTATACTTTTAACAGGAGGACTCTGGGGGAGAATTTGTGATTTTTAAACAAAACTGGAATGAAAGGGTGCAAGACCGGCATAAACAGCCACATACTCGGCCCCCGCTGACGGAAGGAAATGTCCACACGAAGCCAACGCCCCAGTACCCGTCCGGCCGTGTCCCCGCCCGCCGGAGGCTGCTTCCTCGGCCCCGAGCCCTCACCTGCCAGCGTCCATCCCCTGACGCACCAAGTACCGTTGTTACGGATTACTCACCCCTGTGCTCACACGCTCAGACACCCCTCAGGTCAGTCCAACCAGGAACCAAACAAGCCTCCCTCTGCCTCCACACTCCTCCTGCCCCGGCCGTCCCATTCCCTCTTCTCCCCTTCTCCCCTTCCCCCTTCGCACGTGCATTCTGAAGCCTGGTCTGCACCGGCTGGCCCACCTCCCGGGATCCCACTCCCTCATGACCCCGTCCCCACGTCCCCACGCCTCCCCCCCGCGCCGCCGCGGCGGGGGGCCCCCCCCCCCCCCCTCCCCCGCCCCCCCCCCCGCCCCCCCCCTGCCGCCCCCCCCCCCCCAGCCCCTCACCAGCACTGCCAGGGTAGAGCCATCCCTCCCCCCTCCTCCCGGTCTCCTCCTAGCTCACTGGCATGCCTTTTCCAGGCCCCTGTGCTGGCCCCTCCTCCCCTCGCTCATCAGCAAGTGTTGGCACAGCCCAGGGCTCCATCCATCCTGCCGCTGCAGACACTCATTCTCGGGCGACTCTACCCACCCCAAGGCTTTAAAAATCCTCTCTAATGCACTTCTCAGGCTCAAAGCCCTCCTGAGGCTTTCCTCCCGAGCCCCAGACTCATCTTCCCAACTGCTGACTTGACGCCCTCTCCTGGATGCCTTTCGAGGCACCTCGAGTCAAGCTGGTCTGATGCAGACCTCGGACAACCTGCTCCGTCTCGGGAAATGGCATCGCCATCCTCCCGGTGGGTGAGACCAAAACCGAAGGCCTCGTCCTCGAGTCTGCTCTGTCTCTAGACGTCCAACCCATCGCCAAGTCCCGGGCAAGGCCTACTTTCCCCAAAGCCCAGGGCGGCAGCCAGGCGTGAGGAAGGGAGAGGCCACCAGCAGGGCCCGGGGACACCCTCGCTGTCAAGCCTGATCACGCTGCATCGTCGTCCTCTCTGCTGCCTCTGGCCAGGGACCCTGTCACACGCGCCTCTGTTCCACTGTTACTCCACACCCTCTCTTCTTCATGAGCTCTGTGGGGGCAGGGACATGTCATTCATCTTTGTGT